GGACGGTAGGATCGGTTGGTGGCAGAGGAGGAGGTCGTTGGGAATTGTTCCGTGGCAGCGGAGGAGGTAGGTGGGATCGGTCGGTGGCAGCGGAGGCGGTCGGTGGGATCGGTCGGTGGCAGCGGAGGAGGTAGGTGGGATCGGTCGGTGGCAGCAGAGGCGGTTGATGGGATCGGTCGGTGGCAGCGGAATCAGTCGGTGGCAGTCGGTGGGATCGGAGGCGGTCGGTGGGATCGGTCGGTGGCAGCGGAGGCGGTCGGTGGGATCGGTCGGTGGCAGCGGAGGCGGTCGGTGGGATCGGTCGGTGGCAGCAGAGGCGGTCGGTGGGATTGGTCGGTGGCAGCGGAGGCGGTCGGTGGCAAACCATTAAAGTGCAGACATTACAGTTCCTTTACAAATCAGTGCTCCCACTACTGACTGTTGGGTCCAAGGGCCCCACAACAGATACCAAAGGGCCACATACTGTGTGGTTGGTGCAGGTATCTGTGTAATCAGTGCCGGTTGCACTGTGTATGGTAGGTGCAGATATCAGTGTAATCGGTGCCGGTTGCACTGTGTATGGTACGTGCAGATATCAGTGTAATCGGTGCCGGTTGCACTGTGTATGGTAGGTGCAGATATCAGTACAATCGGTGCCGGTTGCACTGTGTATGGTAGGTGCAGATATCAGTGTAATCGGTGCCGGTTGCACTGTGTATGGTAGGTGCAGATATCAGTGTAATCGGTGCCGGTTGCACTGTGTATGGTAGGTGCAGATATCAGTGTAATCGGTGCCGGTTGCACTGTGTATGGTAGGTGCAGATATCAGCGTAATCGGTGCCGGTTGCACTGTGTATGGTAGGTGCAGAAATCTGTGTAATCGGTGCCGGTTGCACTGTCGGGGACTATTTACTTCTCTGTAGGTTCTGGGTTCAGTGTCAAGTCTCGCTGACATCATACGTGACATATCAAGCACCGCCCCTCCGTCGGCCCTCCCAATGGGCGCCTTGCTGTCTTCCCGGCCGCAGCCAATCAGCGCCCCGCGCGGTGACTCACCATATATGGACAGTCTTTTCCATATAAGGAAAGATCTCCTCGCTTTATATGGCTGAAAATAGTCCTCAGCCACCTCTCTGTATATTCCTCCGCGCTGCGCTGCCTGGACATAGGGGGGAACTAGTGCCGGGCGGCCGCGGATGGGTTCTCTGTCAACTGCCTTACGTTGAGTGGGAGTGAGGCGGCTCGGCCTGTGATTGGCTACTGGGAGGTGTGCGCGGGGAAGCCGGGAGAGCCAGAGGCGCAGGGCGGCTGAGAGACGCCACAGAGGAGGCCGGGAGAGAGAACCCAGTGAGGAGGGTGAGAGGACCGGGGGGGGTGAACCGGGGGAGGGGGATGAGGAGACTAGGGGTGTACGGTGAGGGGGGGTGGGGGCAGAGAAGTGGGTGAGGGGACCGGGGCATACCGCGGGGGGGAGGGGGACAGAAGAGGCTGAGGAGCCGGACTGTACTGGGGGGAAGGAGGGTGAGGGAACCCGGGGGGTGTACTGGAGAGAGGTGGGTGACGGTTGTACCGGGGAGGAGGGTTAGAGGACCCGGGGGGTGTACCGGGGAGGAGGGTGAGGGGACCCGAGGGGTGTACTACCGGGGAGGAGGGGGGGTGTACTACCGGGGAGGAGAGTAAGGGGACCCGGGGGGGGTGTACTACCGGGGAGGAGGGGGGGTGTACTACCGGGGAGGAGAGTAAGGGGACCCGGGGGGTGTACTACCGGGGAGGAGGGTGAGGGGGTGTACTACGGGGAGGAGGGGGAGGGAACCCGGGGGGTGTACTACCGGGGAGGAGAGTAAGGGGACCCGGGGGGTGTACTACCGGGGGGGGGGGGGGGGGAGAGTTTACCGGGGAGGAGGGGGAGGGAACCCAGGGGGTGTACTACCGGGGAGGAGGGTGAGGGGTGTACTACGGGGAGGAGGGGGAGGGAACCCGGGGGGTGTACCACCGGGGAGGAGGGTGAGGGGTGTACTACGGGGAGGAGGGTAAGGGGACCCGGGGGGGTTTACCGGGGAGGAGGGTGAGGGGACCCGGGGGGGTTTACCGGGGAGGAGGGTAAGGGGACCCGCGGGGTGTACCACCGGGGAGGAGGGTGAGGGGTGTACCACCGGGGAGGAGGGTGAGGGGACCCGCGGGGTGTGTACACCGGGGAGGAGGGTGAGGGGACCCGGGGGGGTGTACTACCGAGGAGGAGGGTGGGTGGGGGGTGTACCGGGGAGGAGGGTGAGGGGACCCGGGTGGGGGGTGTACGGGGGAGGAGGGTGAGGGGACCCGAGGGGTGTAGCGGGGAGGAGGGTGATGGGGGTACCGGTGAGGAGACATGGGGGGTAGAGGGTGAGGGCACCCAGGATATACCGAGGAGAGGTAGGTGGGGGACTGGGGTATTCTGTAGGAGAAGAGGGTGAGCAAACCCAGGATACATCAGGGGAGGGTAAGAGGATGAGGGGACCTGGGGTGTATTACCAGGGGGGGGGAGGGGACCGGGGTGTACCAGAGAAGGAGGGAGAGGTGGGTGAGGGGGCTGCTGTGTACTGGGGGTGAGGGGGCTGGTGTGTACCAGAGAAAGAGGTGGGTGTGGGGGGCTGGTGTGTATAAGGGGGGGGAGGTGTGTGAGTGGGCTGCGGTGTACTGGGGGGGGGGGGAGGAAAGGTGCGTGAGGGGGCTGGTATGTACCGGGTGGGGGGGGGAGTGAGGGGGCTGGTGTGTACCTTGGGGGGGGAAGGTGGGTGAGGGGGTCGGTGTGTACTGTGGGAGGGGCAGGTGGGTGAGGGGGTCTGTGTACCGTGGGAGGGGGGGAGGGGGGTGAGGGGGTCTGTGTGTACCGTGGGAGGGGGGGAGGTGGGTGAGGGGGTCTGTGTGTACCGTGGGAGGGGGGGAGGTGGGTGAGGGGGTCTGTGTGTACCGTGGGAGGGGGGGGAGGTGGGTGAGGGGGTCTGTGTGTACCGTGGGAGGGGTGTGAGGGGGTCTGTGTACCATGGAGGGGGAGGTGGGTGAGGGGGTCTGTGTGTACCGTGGGGGGGGGGGGGGGAGGTGGGTGAGGCGGGCGGTCGGGTGGGGGGGGGGGGGGGGGGGAGTTGGTTGAGGCGGTCGGTGTGTACCGTGGGGAGGAGAAGAGGGTTATGGGTCTGGGGTATAACAGGGAGAGGAGGGGGAGGGTGAAGGGACCGGGATATACTGGGGGCAGGAGATGAGGGTGAGGGGACCAGGGTGTGTACTGGGGAGGTGGGTGAGAGGACCCGGAGGGAGAGGCCACTGGGCTATACTGGGGGAGAGTAGAGGGTGAGGGCACCCAGGGCGTACCAGGGAGAGGTAGGCAGGTGGGGGGGACTAGGGTATACTGGGGGAGAAGAGGGTGAGCAAACCCAGGATATGTGGGGGGGGGGGGGAAGAGGATGAGGGGACCTGGGGTATACCAGGTTGGAGGGAGGAGGGTGAGGGGACCTGGGGTATACCAGGTTGGGGAGGAGGGTGAGGGGACCTGGGCGTACCGGAGGAGGGTGGGGGGACCTGGGTATAACAGGGGAGTAGAGGACTATGGGGAGAGGGCAATGGGCTTTACTGGGGAAGGAGAAGAGGGTGTGGGAGCCGGGGTGTACTGGGAGAGAGGTGGGTGAGGGGGGCCAGTGTGTCCCAGGGGGGAGAGGTGGGGGAGCAGAAGAGGGTGATGGGTCCGGGGTATAACGGGTTGAGAAGTAGGTGAGGGGACTGGAATATACAATACACACGAGGAGGGGGGGCTGCACATAGCAAAGGGTAGTTATATACAGTGTAAGGGGACAGATAGTGGAGTGATATTTACCAGGAGGAGAAGAGGGTGAGGGGTCTGAGGTATGCTGGGGAAAGAGGTGGGCGAGGGGCCCAGGATATACCCGGGGTTTAGAAGGTGAGGGGATCTGGGGTATACCAGGGGGAGAGGTGGGTGAGGGGACCGGGGTATACAATACACATGGGGGGGTGCACATAGTAGAAAGGAGGAATATACAGTATAAGGGAACAGATAGTGGGTGTGCTATTTACTGTGGAGGTATGTACAGTGGTATATGTATGATGAGGGCTCTACATAGTGGGGAGGTATGGACAGCAAGGGGTACCTATGGCAGGGTATTTACCGTTGGGGGGGGGTGTATGTACAGTGAGGGGTACCTATGTTGTGGAGGTATATATGGTGAGGGTGTGTGTGTGTATATTATATATTGGGGAGGTCAATACGTTGAGGGGTGCATATGGTGGGTAGGTATATACGGTTGGGAGTACCTATAGTGGGGAGTAGATTGCTAGTCAGTGGGTAGTATACAGTGGAATGATGGGTAGTAGAGGGTCCTTTGGTGGGTAGTATACAGTGGAATGATGGGTAGTAGAGGCTTGTTCGTGGGTAATATACAGTGAAATGGTGGGTAGTATACAGTGGATTGATGGGTAGTAGAGGGTGGTGGTTCGGTGGGTAGTATACAGTGGAATGGTGGGTAGTATACAGTGGAATGATGGGTAGTATAGGGTGGTTTGGTGGGTAGTATACAGTGGAATGGTGGGTAGTAGAGGGTGCTTTGGTGGGTAGTATACAGTGAAATGGTGGGTAGTATAGGGTGGTTCGGTGGGTAGTGTACAGTGGAATGATGGGTAGTATAGGGTGCTTTTGGTGGGTAGTATACAGTGGAATGGTGGGTGGTTCGTTGGGTAGTATACAGTGGAATGGTGGGTGGTTCGTTGGGTAGTATACAGTGGAATGGTGGGTGGTTCGTTGGGTAGTATACAGTGGAATGGTGGGTGGTTCGGTGGGTAGTATACAGTGGAATGATGGGGGTAGTATAGGGGTGGTTCGGTGGGTAGTATACAGTGGAATGATGGGTAGTAGAGGGTGGTTCGGTGGGTAGTATAGTGTACACTGAGAATGGTGGGGGGAGGGTGTGTGCCGGTCTGGTTTAGTAGTATCAATAACTTTGTCCATTCCTTCTATGCTTTTAGGGTGACGGGTGGAAATGTTGCCCACCCAGGCCGGCTCCTCTCCCGGGAACGGTGTAGGCCGCAACCCCGGATTATCGTTGTCTCGTAGCCGGCCAGGGAACGGAAGCTCTCCAGGGAGGGGCGGTCGGCCTCGGTACGAGGTTTCTCCAGGAGCCGGCTCAGCCATGTACAGCGGTAGTGAAGCCACCTCTGACTCTGCGGAGGAGGATGACACCCCAGCCCGAGGGGTGAAGAGAGGACTAGCTGAGCTGGAGCTTCCTGATCCAGTGGGACCCGGAGGAGCAGGAGTAGCAACTGCTGGAGGATACCCAGGGGTATCGGGGGTGTCAGGGGCCAAGCCTGGCAAGAAGACCCGGGGCAGGGTGAAGATCAAGATGGAGTTCATTGACAACAAGCTGAGGAGGTACACCACCTTCAGCAAGAGGAAGACTGGCATCATGAAGAAGGTGAGGGGGAAGGGTGTGGAGTATGGAATGGATGGAGTGTGGGAGTTCTGTGGCGCTCATGTTTTGTACATGGAGAAGATTATGGTGTTCAGTCAACTAAACCTCTAGATGTGAGTTTTGGAGCATCTGATGTCTCATCTCGTAGTATGGGGTTGTCATTTGGAGCTCCTGATGTCTCATCTCGTAGTATGGGGTTGTCATTTGGAGCTCCTGATGTCTCATCTCGTAGTATGGGGTTGTCATTTTGGAGCTCCTCATGTCTCATCTCGTAGTATGGGGTTGTCATTTGGAGCTCCTGATGTCTCATCTCGTAGTATGGGGGTGTCATTTGGAGCTCCTGATGTCTCATCTCGTAGTATGGGGGTGTCATTTGGAGCTCCTGATGTCTCATCTCGTAGTATGGGGGTGTCATTTGGAGCTCCTCATGTCTCATCTCGTAGTATGGGGTTGTCATTTGGAGCTCCTCATGTCTCATCTCGTAGTATGGGGTTGTCATTTGGAGCTCCTCATGTCTCATCTCGTAGTATGGGGGTGTCATGACTACTTACAGGTAAGATCAGTGGTGGGGTTACATATGATAGTATCTTGAGGTTTACCGCAGCAGCCAGCACAGTATTGTGGTCTGGTGCTGTAGGCTCAGTGGTGGGGTCAGAGGTCAGACGGGTATGTTCTGTGTGTAGCACGGCTATCGGAATTGTTGGGTTTCCTTGTTGGTTGCTCCATGTTTGTGCCAGTTTTAATAATCCACCCAGTGAGTCTGGGGATAAAGTTGTGAACGCGTTTTTCAGAGGTGCTGCATGTTCTGTGGCTTCATGCTGTGCGTGGCTTGCTCTGTCTCTGGTGGGTCTCTGCCCTGGTCTGCTATGACCCCGAGGGCAGAGGGCTGAGATCTGTTTAGGTGATTTTTGCTCTGTTCTCCTCCAGGCTTGCTTTCTGCTCTGCAGTCTTGTGTGGCGCTTGCCCCGTGCCCGGTGGGTCTGTTGCCTGGTCTCACGCCCATGACAGAGGGCCGAGATCTGTGAAGGTGATTTTTTGCTCGGTTTTCTGCCGCAGGCTCGCTTTTTGCGCTGCAGTCTTGTGTGGCGTTTGCCCCGTGCCCGGGTCTATCACGCCCAGGACAGAGGGCCGAGATCTGTGAAGGTGATTTTTGCTCAGTTCTGTCTAGCACGCCCAGGACAGAGGGCTGAGATCTGTGAAGGTGATTTTTGCTTGGCTCTGCTGCGAGCTCGCTTTCTGCTCTGCAGTCTTGTGTAGCGCTTGCCCCATGTCTGGTGTGTCTCTGCCCTGGTCTGCTATGACCCCCAGGACAGAGGGCCGAGATCTGCGAAGGTGATTTTTTTTTATTTTGTTTTTTTTTTGCTGCTCGGTTTCTGCTGCAGGCTCGCTTTTTGCGCTGCAGTCTTGTGTGGCGTGTGCCCCGGTCTAGCATGCCCAGGACAGAGGGCCGAGATCTGTGAAGGTGGATTTTTTATTTTTTTTTTGTTTTGTTTTGTTTTTTGCTCCAGGCTCGCTTTCTGCGCTTCAGTCTTGCGTGGTGTTTGCCCCGTGCCCGGGTCTATCACGCCCAGGACAAAAGGGCCGAAATCTGTGAAGGTGATTTTTGCTCAGTTCTGGTCTATCATGCCCAGGACAGAGGGCTGAGATCTGTGAAGGTGATTTTTGCTCCATTCTTCTCCAGGCTCGCTTTCTGCAGTCTTGTGTGACGCTTGTCCTGTGTCTGGTGGGTCTCTGCCCTGGTCTGCTATGACCCCCAGAACAAAGGGCCGAGATCTGTGATCTGTTTTTTTTTTTTTTTTTTTTTTATTTGCTTAGTCCTGCTCTAGGCTCCCTGGTCTATCACGCCCAGGACGGAGGGCCGAGATCTGTGAGTTGCGCTCGGTCTGCTCCAGACTCCCCTTCTGTAAATCAGAAACAGCAGATTTCTGTCCTTGAGGTTCCTATCAGGAGTTTCGGGGTTTACACCGTTTGTTTTTCCGGTTGGTTTGCCCATGATCTGCTTGTGGCAATCCCGCTTTGCTGTACACTTTCTGCACCTGGTATGTTTCTGTAGAGGGATTATTCAGCTGTTTGTTCTGCTTTGGATGGAGGGGGGGGGGGGGGTTGGGGGCTGTAGCCAAGGGCGGCTGTCCTTTCCTTTCTCAGGGGGGTTGCAGAGACCCCCTTCAGTGGGCAGACAAGAAACAGATGTTTTAGGGCATGAAGGTGATAACAGCTGTAGGGGGGGATGGGCCCTGCTAACACAGAACATAAACTCCAAGTTGTGTGTATGAAGGGTCCTGTCTATCCAGCAGTCACATTGCTAGACTCGCTGTATAAATATGAGGTGCCCCATAAGAGCAGTTGCCCATGGGTGGTTTTGGGGTTCACAAGTCAAGTGAAGGTGCAGTCTGCTCTAGTGTAAGCTTTGTCCTTTTTTTTTTTTTTTTTTTTTTTTTTTTTTTTTTTTTTTTTTTTTTTCTACAGTGCATTCATAAAGTATTCAGACCCACGTTCACGTCTTCAGTGTTGTTGCAGCTTGATACAGTTGTTTAAATTCATTTATTTGCTCATTAATCTATTCTCAGTACCCACAAAGTGAAAACGGAATTTTAGAAATATCTGACATTTCAGTTATTTATTTTGAAAACTGAATTTTAGAAATTTCTAAATTTAATAAAAAGAAATAACTGATAGGTCAGACGTTTCTAAAATTCCGTTTTCACTTTCATTACGGGGTACCGAGAGTAATTTTGAGCAAATAAATGATTTTAAACAACTGTATCAGGCTGCAACATAACACTGAAAATGGTGAATGGGGTCTGAATACTTATGGCAATGTGACATTTCAGTTAATTCTTTTTCTGTTTCAATATTTTTTTATTAATAAAGTTTTTTGTTTTTAAGAACATAACAAGCTCAAGATACCCCCACGCAGGGGCAGAGCAGAACAATAACACACAAACAGGTTCATCCTGCTGACTTGTATTAGCCAAATTACAAAATGTCCAATGACAAATGACATTGAGGGACGGCAAAAAGCCGAACCAAATAATAGCAGCAGTAATCCAACATAGCACCGGAAAAAGAAAAAAGATTAGAGGAAAGAATAAAGAACATAAAACAAAAAAAAAAAAAGAAAATATGGAGGAAAGTGAAACTAGAAGAATCATGGATCCAAGGCTAGCACAGGCAACGACTAGAAAAGGCCATAACTAGTAGGAGGCAGGGATGGCAAGGAATAACGTATCCAAGGTTCCCAAACCTTAAGGAATCTCGGATGAGAATCATGAAGAATGACATCTGTTCATTAATCAACATAGCATTCATCTGGGTCTTCATTCCCTGGAAGACAACTGAAGGGGTCCTCCCAAGCTTGAGATGTAGCATGTTTGGCCGAAATAAATGGGTAGGATGCCAATTTCTGCTGCGACCTAGATATACCCAAAATTGGACAATGCAGAAGGGCCTCCCTTGCATCCCTACGGACCGTAATATGGAATAGCGTTTGTAGCAAACCAAAAACCCTAGACCAGAAGCCTATCCATCGCGGTCGCGACCACCAAACAGTTATTTCTTTTCAATTCACACATTGCCATAAGTATTCAGAGCCTTTACCCCGTACTTTGTTTGAAGCGCCTTTGGCAGCAATTACAGCTTTGCGTCTTTTTGGTTATGATGCCACAACCTTTGCCACCATGCTTCACTGTTGGGATGGTATTGGACAGGTGATGAGTGGTGCTAGGTTTCCTCCAGACATAACGTTTAGAATTGAGGCCAAACACTTCAATCTTGGTTTCATCAGACCAGAGAATCTTGTTCCTCCGTCTGAGAGTCCTTTTGGGTGCTTTTTTTTTTTTTTTTTCCCGCATGCTCCAAGTGGGCTTTCATGTGTTTTGCAGTGAGGAGAGGCTTCCATCTAGCCACTCTGCCATACAGCCCGGATGAGTGGAGAGCTGCAGTGTTGGTTGTCCTGGAACATTGTCCCATCTCCATTAGTGGTGCACCGAAACGAAAATTCTGGTGCCAAAACCAAAAACTCAGAATGCACTTGGCCGAAAACTGAAATGGATTTTTTGAAAAAAAAAAAATATGTTTTATGATTAAATTCCCTGGCGGTATTGCCGAGTGTATCTCGGGGTAAAGTTTCAGCACCACAAGCGGTAACCCCCCCCCCCCGAGCTACACTCGGGAATACTCTGCAGCGTTGCTCCGGGATCTCTTCTGCACTTACCTTGTCCTGCGCTCCCGCGATGTCCCCCCTGCAGTGTCCCCAGCAATGTCCTCCGGCCGATACCGGCATCTGTCTTCTGGATTCCGTCCCCTGCGACGTCGGGACGTACGGGGGATGGAACTGGCGGGAAATTTGAAAATTGTAAAAGTGACATTCACTAAATACACTAAAATCACATAGTATAACATTCCTGTATCAAACCATTTCACATACATTTTGTCCCGAGTGCTTTGTCTGGCGCCCTGCCTGCATTTTTACTGTTCTTTCTGCCTGGAAACTGAGAAACGTCCATGGCGTCCAAAAAGCGTCCCTTTAGGTCAGACGCGGTTTTAGACCGGCTAGAGAACAGCGATAGTAAATCAGAACCACTTGCAGAATTGAGTGATAATGATTCGTGGGGGAAATTCCTCATCAGACACTGAAAACGATTCTGCGACTTTGCTCAGCGATGTGCGAACTTGGCGCTCTATTTCACATTTCAGTGTTTTTGGTTTGAATTGATTATATTATTGAATTAAATTTTATTATTTTTTATGATTATTAAATTCTAATTTATGATTTCGTGTTTCAAATTTTATCCTCCCCGGGATGTTTACTAGACTCTTGTTCGGACAGATTTCAGTGAGTTATTCCTAAAAAAAAATTACAGCCTACAATAAAAAAAAAACATATTTCCATACATAAAAAAAAATGTTCCGCTTTGAGCACAGAAATATGGACATAATCAGACCGCTAGGGAGGCTACAAACCCCCCCACAATATATACCCCAATTGTTTTGTAAAATATGAA